GGGAAAGAGCATTCCAGGCAAAGGTAATAGCAAGGTCAAAGCCTTGAGGTAGTACCAAGGCTGGTATGACTAAGAGGAGTAAATAAAGAACAAATGGAAATTTAAGGAGTTGAGCAAGGGTACAGGGAGAATAAGAGATTAGAGTCTTACAAGCCATTTATTAGCTGTTGACTTTTACTCTGAGTGAGATGGTAAGGAGAGGTACGGTTTGATTGGTGATGTTTTCGAGAAACACTTTGCTGGAATAACAATTGAAAGAAAGCAAGGGCAGAAAAAAAAGGGACACTTAGAAGGCTAATGAGACAAGAGGCTATGATAGCTTGTACCAAAATTTTAGCAATGAACGTGGTAAGTATTCATATTCTGGATATATTTTGAATATAGAGATAAAAATGTTGAGTTGACAGATTGGATGTGGGATGTGAGAGAAAGAGAGGAGTGGAGGACTCTAAGGTTGTTGACCTAGATAACTAGGAAAATGGAATTGCCATTTAAAGAGACAGAGTACACTGAAGGAGAATCAATTCAGGAGTGCAGAGAACAGGAGTTCATATCGGGACACACTATGCTTAATATAACTATTACACAACTAAGTATTGGTGTTGAATGATGAAACATCCAGGTAGAGACATAAATTTGTCACAAGAGTGAAGACTGTTTTTAAAGCTAATACTCTGGGTGAAGTCACCAAGGTTCTCAAGTGAAGGGAAAAGAGAAGAGGTCTTAGGACTGAGCACTGGAACACATCAAAAATCAGAGATTGGAGAAAAGAGAAGGGAAAAGCAAAGTGTCAAAAAAAAAAAAAAAAACCCTGGAAAACGTGATTAGTGATGCGGTATGAGGAAAAGTATAAGCATGGATTGACTCTTTGAAGTCAGGGGAATGACATAGAGATCAACTCTGTCTTAAAATATTGATAGGTCAGTAAAAAAGTCATTTGATGCAACACTGTGTATGTCATTGGTGAACTTTACAATAACAATTTTAATGAAGCTCTGAGAGTGTGAATTCGTTCAGGAGAAAATAAGTAGAGGAACAGAGGTTGGCAAAAAAGATAATTTTTAAAGTTTGCTATAGAGAGCATCAGAGAACTGAGTCACTAGAATTAACTATATGGGGTCAAGACAAACTTTTGCTTTAACATGGAGAAATAATATCATGTGTATGCACTGATATAAATGATTCACTTGAAAGCATTGCTAACAAGCCAGCCAAAAAAATATCTGATATGTCCTAATAAAATGGTCTGTTTCTTTTCTAATAGTAGTCTGGGCCACTGAACCATCAATTGCTAATAAAGAAGAAACCTTGGAACATGTTTTTACAATATTAAATTGAGAGCATAAATAAACTAGTGCTCTGCCTTGCCATTTTTCAGTGTGTCTCCTCAAATACCCATTATCATTGATGATCATTTTGGCCAAAAAAAAAGTCCCACTATTTCAATATCATCATGAGCAGCTTGCTTGATGAGCATACTTCAAACAAATTCTTCCCACATATTTGATACAATGATAAAGTCAGGTTCTGCTAGAGGAAACATCTCTAAGATTATAGTTTCTGGGAAAAGGAGCAGTGGCTTTTAGGAGCTAGATGTTACTGGGGAAATGCACGAATAGGGGTGTGGGTTACCTTCAGTGAATGAGAATCAATCCTGGGGAACAGTAGAATTATGTGGGAAGTTTTAAAAATACTTATGCTTTGGATTCATCCTCAGAAATTCTGAGGTTTACTTGCTTGTGGATGGTACACAAGCATCTGAATTTTTAACAGGTCTCTATAAGATTCTGATGAAGAGTATTTAAAAACCATTAGTCTGAGCACATAATTTTGATCACCATCTTCCACATAATCTTCCAAGCTCTCAGGGTTTATTTGAAAGGAATCAAGGAACAATAAGATTACCTCCTAGTCTTCTCAGGCAGCAGTATGGTATGGCTAAGTCTCTAGCTCAAGAATGATGTTTATCTTAGTAAAAGTCTTAAGAATCCACCATAAACTTGTTATTACATAAATTGCTCTAAACAACTCTGTTCCTTAACTCTCTCCAGTTCTTCAAAACCTATCTTAAAGGTATGAGTCAAGATCTAAGTCATGAACTTAGACTATATAAAAATATGGCACCTAAACTTCCAGTCAAGATGGAGGCATAGGCAGACACACTTTGCCTCTTCATGCAAACCCAAGAAGAATCACAACAAACCTCAAAACAAAAAACACCTAGAGCTGCCATAAAATCGAATTGAATGGAAGTCCGACAACCAAGGACTTAAAGAAGCCGTATTCATCCAGACAGGCAGGAGGGGCGGAGATGGGGAGTTAGGGTGGAGAGGCAGCAGTGGCAGCAGTGGAACGGGTGGTCCCACATTCACATGGATAAAAATTGGGAGAGATATCTTGAGAGCAAGTGATCCAGCTCCACACCAGACCACGCAGTACAAGGTTTCAGCACTGGGAAGATAAAGCCTCAAAACTTCTGGCTGTAAAAACCTGTGGAGGTTGGGGTGGTGGAAGTAACTGCCAATTTCTCAGGAGAGCCCATTTAAAGGACCCACATGGACTTAGAACATAGGCAGACCCACCCACTCTGGGAATCACCATCAGGGCAACAGCTAGAAGGGTACCAGTCACATAGGGGAAGTGTCTGAAGTGATTGGAAACAAGGCAAGTGCAAGGCAAGCTTCCAGAAGCCAATCAATGGCATTGTTTCCTCTCCAAATCCTCCCCTACACAGAGACACAAAGCGGTGAATCAAGTTACCTCACCCTGGCGAACACATAAGGCTCCACCCCATTCAACTTAACAGGTATTCTAAGACAGCTCTACATAATACACAGAAACCAACACAGGATGGCTGCCAAAATGAGGAGACAAAGAAATATGGCCCAAATGAAAGAACAGAAAAATTTTAAAAGAACACAGAAAAAGAACTAAATGAAACAGATAGCCAACTGATCAGATGAGGAGTTCAAAACACTGATGATCAGGATGCTCAGAGAACTCATCAAGTATGGCAAAAATGTAAGGGAAGAAATAAAGGCTACATTAAGTAAAATAAAGAAAAATCCACAGGGAACCAACAGTAAAGGGAAGGAAGCTGGGATTTGAATCAGCAATTTGGAATATAAGGAAGAAAAAAGCATTCAATCAGAACAGAATGAAGAAAAAAGAATTCAAAAAAAGAAAATTAGGAGAGTATAAGAAGACTCTGGGACATCTCCAAAAGTGCCAACATCCAAATCATAGGGGTGCCAGAAGGAGAAGAGGAAGAGCAAAGAATTGAAAATGTATTTGAATAAACAATGAAAGAAAACTTCCCTAATTTGGTGAAGGAAATAGATATATAAGTCCAGGAAGCACAGAAAATCCCAAATAAGTTGGACCCAAAGAGGACCACACCAAGATACATCATTATTAAAATGCCAAAGATTAAAGATAAAGAGAGAATCTTAAAAACAGCAAGAGAAAAGGAGAGAGTTACCTACAAAGGAGTTTCAACAAGACTATCAGCTGATTTCTCAAAAGAAATCTTGCAGGCAAGAAGGGACTGACAAAAAAATATTCAAAGGCATATAAAATAAGGACCTACAACCAAGATTACACTTTCCAGCAAAGCTATCATTTAGAATGGAAGTGCAGATAAAGTGCTTCCCAGACAAGGTAAAGTTAAAGGAGTCCATAATCACCAAACCCTTATTATGTGAAATGTTAAAGGGACTTATTTAAGAAAAAGAAGATCATCCAAACTATGAACATCAAAATGACAACAAACTCACAACTATCAACAGCTGAACCTAAAAAACAAAAACAAAAACAAAAAAAAAAAACTAAGCAAACAACCAGAACAGGGACAGAATCATAGATATGGAGATCATTTGGAGGGTTATCAGCTGAGAAGGGGAAGGGGAAGAATGGGGGAAAAGGTACAGGGAGTAAGAAGCATAATTGGTAGATACAAAATAGACAGGAGGAGGTTAAGAATAGTATAGGAAATGGAGAAGCCAAAGAACTTATATGCATGACCCATGGGCATGAAATAAGGAGGGGGATTGCTGAAAGGATGGGGGGCACTGGAAAGATGGGAGTAAAGGGGGAAAATTGGGACAACTGTAATAGCATAATCAATAAAATATACTTTTAAAATAAATTAATTAATTAAAAATATTTTATCTATCCATACTATTGATAGAAAGTAATTTTCATTTAGCTACCTGGTTGAGCAGAAGGCAGAATATGAAAGTAAGACATCCTTGGGATCCTGTGACCCCATGTTGAATGGCATGCTTAACTTCCAGATGCTTGTCTTTCTTTTCCTACATTACCCTAACTTGTTCTTCACTTCCTTTAGTCTATTGTTTTCTCCTCCTCTCTTGTATTTTTTTTCTTTCTGTCTTTCTATTTATTGTCTGGTATCTTCTTTCACTTTTCTTTATTATTTGGGGCAAAATACAGGACAGAGTGATGGAAAAAAAATAGAGTCTAGGAATGCAAAATCTTGAAAGGTCCTTATAATCATTTAGAAAGCATTTCATAAAAGAAGTGATGTTAAAAAGTATGCATTATATTTCAATACTATTAAAGTGCAGGAAATAAGTTCCAATGCTATTGCATCATTTACTCAAAATGAGCAAGTTATAAAGTGGAAAACCACATATACCATACATTCATAAACATTTTAAGTGTACAATTTATTTATTCAACAGAGTATTATCACCTGACTTTACTGAAAAAAAAAAATTGAAATAATGCCACCAGCATCCTCCAGGGAGAGTGATTTACAATGTATTCACAGTCTAATCAACATAAGTAGGCTGTTAGATCCACTGCACACTTAAACAAAATTGAAAAGAAACTATTTGAGACTAAAGATAAAAAAATGCATTACCATGTACAGTCCTACGTACATTTACTTTATTACTAAATATTGGTAAGTGAATGAAACTTTTAATGATTCTTACAGAATTCAAGTAAAACATATTTTTAAATCCTTTTACTTTTGGAAGCAACACTTTGTGGCAGATGATCAAAAATGACTAACACAATTTGAGCTTACTATACTAATGAAGTCTAACCTACTGCAGTGTTCTCTCTTCTGTGAAACAAACCACTATATAGACTTAGTGGTACAAATTTTTTTTGTACATTATACATTACCATATGTCTCTCTATGATAAATCAGACTTTTTTCAAAACCAGTGATGCTTTCGGCAAAATATTTTATAAATCTACAGTATAACTCAATCCATTAAAATAGCTTTTTTAAAACATGTTAATTACATATCAGAGATCATAGATATTGCTGATGTAGGATAAATCCAAGCATTGTGATTCTAGAAGACAGGATAAATTAGATAATTGAATACTACAAAGGAAATTGTCTGTATGATTCCAATCAAAATATTCATTTTATCTTTTACCAATACAATTTGGAAGTTAAAGTGAAATTGTGAAAAGAAACATAGTTAATCAACTGTGAATTACAAAATACTAGTCTTTTTTTTCCCTCTTATTATAACTGTCAGTATTTTAATGGTAAATATACTTTCAGAATTTGAGTTTGCTTATAAAAAATTAGTAAGGATTTAGAAGCCATTTGAATTTAAGCTTTAAATAACATGGCTTGTTACCTCACTTTATCAATGTAAAGTTATTTTAATGTCTAATATAACATACCTTAATGTCTAATAAAAAGGATCCTACAACAGTTATACATTTTGTACACATTCATTTATTTGTTCTGAACTGCTATTTATTTGTTTAAATATTTGTATCCCTGGAATATTATGTGTTTCTTGAGAATAGAGCATAGTCAAATCTTTATCTTCAGTAACTAGGGCAATGACCATACAGAGGAGACATTTGATAAATATTTGTGTATCAGATATCTTAGTTGCATGGCACAAAAAGACTATATTGTTTTAGCTTTTTATCATGGCACCTCAGAGCTGGTCAGCTGCTTCAGGATGAAGCTGAACATCTCTTTCCCAGGCACTGGCTGCCAAGAACTCATAGAATTGGACAATGAACACAAATTTCATACCTTTTATGAGAAGCATATGGCCACAGAAGTTGCTGGTGATGCTCTGAGTAAAGAATCGAAGGCTTATGTGGTTTGAATCACTGGTAGGAACAACAAACAAGGTTTCCCCATGAAGCAGGGTGTCTTGACTCATGGCTATTACTGCCTGCTGCTGAGTAAGGGGCATTCTTGTTATAGACCAAGGCAGATTAGAGAGAAAAGGCACAAATCTGCTTGGGATTCTATTGTGGATACTAATCTCAGTGTTTTCAAATTGGCCATTGCAAAAAAGCAAGGAAAGATATTCTTGGTCTCAATGATGCTACCATATCTCATTGCCTAGGGCCCAAAAGAGCTACCAGAATCCAAAAACCTTCTAATTTCCATACAGAAGATGGTATCCACCAATATGTTGTGAGAAAGGCCCTAAACAAAGAAAGTAAGAAATCTAGGACCAAAGCACCCAAACTTCAGCATCTTGTTACTCTACATGTCCTGCAACACAAACGTTGGCATATTGCTCTGAAGAATCAATGTACTATGAAAAACAAGAAAGGGGGTATGGAACATGCTAGACTTTTGACTAAGAGAATGAATGAGGTCAGAAAAATATAAAATAAATATACACCAGGGACAGATTGCCAAGACATAGGCTGTCTCCTCTGAGAACTTCTCTGCAAAAATGAGGTTTTCTAAGAGTAATAAATAAATAAGAACAAACACCAAAGAAAAAGACTATAGTGTTTTAAATTTTATTTTATAGACATAGAATATTAAAAAAAAAAACCCTGTTCATTAATTATTCTCCTCAATGGTAATCCTAGAGCAGAGTCTCTACCTCTGATCCACAAGATTTATATAGTAATGGAATGTTTCTGGTTATTTCATTTGACCTGAAGAGTGTTTTAAAAACTATACATAGGCACACATGATATGCCTGTAGTGACAGCAATGGGAGAAGTATAGCCCTTGTTGTTTTATTTTAGGACTGCTTCACACTCTATTTCACAACATAAATCCTGAATATATTTGAATTTATGAGCCTTACCTCCTGCAGTCCAAAATTGTAGGACTGAAAGAGCTACAGTAATTTATCTACCTCGGACTAGATTCTAGAAAGCGTCTTTGGGATTCTGTAAGAATTTGTGGCATATACAGATAGCCCTCTGTGTTTGCAGGTTCTGCATTCATAGATTCAACCAGTTACAGATTAAAAATGTTCAGAAAAAAAATAGGTTATGTCGTTGTCAATGAGTACTATGTAGTTAGGCTGGCGATGATTGCATCTATACTAAACATGGACAGATTTTGTTTTCTTGTCATTATTCCCTAAACAATATAGTATAACAACTATTTACATAGTATTTATATTATATTAGGTATTATAAGTAATCTAGAGATGATTTAAAGCGTATAGTAGGACATGTATGGGTTATACAAATATACTACACGATTTTTATTTAAGGGACTTGAGCACCCATGGATTCTGGTATCCACAGAGAGTCTTGAACCAATTCCTCATGGATATGGAGGGATGGCTATATTTCTTTTGACTATTTTTATGGCAGTGTAAGAAATTACCACAAAAGTGGTGGCCTAAAACAGGACACATGTGTATGTTTGTGTGGTCAGGAGTCCAGGCACAGGCTGACTGGGTCCTCTGATAAGAGTCTCACAAGGCTGCAGTCTAGGTGTCAGCTGGGTCACATTCCTTCCTGGAGTTTGAAGGCTCCCACCAAACTCAAGTGATTGTCGTCAGAATTCAGTTCCTTGTCGTTGCTGGACTGTGTCCTGCTTTCTTGCTAGTTATCAGCCAACTGCTGCTCTCAGCCCTTCTAAGACCATACCGTCCATTGCTATGTGACCCTCTCACAGGCTCTCCCATAACACAACACTCTTCCTCAAGGTCATCAAAAAAATCTCTCTCTTTAAGAAGTGTCTCCATTTTTAAAGGACTGATTAGGTCAAGCCAACCCTGGATAATCTTCCTTTTGATTAACTCAAAATCAATTGATTTAGGACCTTTATTACAGCTTTGAAATCTCTCCCCTTTGCCGTATGACACAACATAATTATGGCTATGACATCCCATCATATTCAGAGGTCCTGCCAACATTCAAGGAGAGATTATTCAGAGGCCAGAAATCTTGGAGACCATCTTAGAATTTTGCTGATCACAATGATAGATATCTTTAAGATAATCTTGTTTTCCAGGATATAAATCACATTAATATATATACACACATGCATATTATATATAGTACACAAAATATAAAGTATGTATTATATTAATTTAGTTTAAATATTACCTATCCTTAGTTATGCCAACATGTATAGGTATGTGTGTGTGTGTGTGTATGTGTGTGTGTGTGTGAATATATGTATGTATGTGTGTATATATACGTGTATATATGTAGGTATATACTTGTAGGTATATATACATATTTTTCCTTCTATTTCTTTTTCTCCTTTACTTACTTTTCTTTCTTCCTTCTTTCCCTTTCCTCTTCCTGTTTATTCTCTCCTTTATCAATTAAATGCCAAGTAGAGTTAATTTATATTACTTCCCAAAAACCAAGAGACTTTATTATGACTTTGAGAAATGAGGCTGAAATTTTCAATATTATTCAAGCACTTATTGGAATACTATGGTAGACCATGTATTTGCATTCTATAACTGAGCAGGAGTTTATTTTTTACATTGGAAAGCTCTCTAGAAAAAAAAAATCCATGTATCCTCTTAATTGTGCATGATTTTATTTAAAAAAAAATCTAGCATCTGTAAACAAATTTCCTTAAGTAAACTAGGGATATTTTACAGGGTTCACAATAAAGTGAAATAAAAGTTTGATAGAGACAATTCTTTATTTATTCAATAAGAATCCCTATTTTAAGAAACTAGATTAAAGTGATTTTGCTCAATATATTTGTCTAATGGATTTTTCTCTCACTTGTGAGAAAAGCTGAGAAGATAAAATGAGTGAGATACTGAATTGTAGAGATTTTCCTATCTAATCAGAGATTTAAAAGTCATTTTCTTCATAAGTATTCAGGAACAGGAATTAAAAGGAAGATTTCGTAGGGTGCTTACTTTGAGATGGTGAGGAAAACAAAAGCACACATCAAAAATGGGGCCACCGAGCAGTCTAAAAGGAGGAACACCACTCAGAGAGCCTGAGGCCTAGTTAAAGGCCAGTTCTATGATGAACTAGTTCTGTCATGTAAGACACGATCTTCTTACTTTCTTCACATATGGGTGACAGATAATACTAACATCTCTGTTCACTTCTCAGGATTATTATAAGTAACCAGTTGGACTTAATGAAAAGAACATAGAGATACATTTCAGGGAGGATTTGTTATAGTTCTGGCTTTAGCACTTTGTGGCTACATGGACCTCGGTGACTTATTTATCTAGTCCTAACCTGAATTCCCTCCTATGGAAAATAATGTCTAATGTCATGATTATTTTAAGGATTAAGCAATTTATAGAAATTAAATAATCTTCAAGTTGTGTCTATTGTTAGAATTATTAATTTCAGTTATCATTAAAATGTAAAATACAATTCTTAATAACCTAGGATTAGAAAGATCTCCCAACTAGAGCAAAAGATGGCTAGTTGAAGTTATCTGCACATGCAAGAATATAATGCAGAGAGCACATGTTTTTACATTCTGCCACCAACTTCATTTCTTTACTTCAGATTCAAATGTATAAAGCAAGAATGATTATGGAATAGTTAGAATTAGTTTTGTGATCTGAGAATGTTCAAAATGATTCTATATATCTGGACTTTGTAATTATTATTGTTTCATCATTATTTCAAAATATTATAATCAATAGCCTGTGTTGATTTTATTGTACAGTATGAGGAATAAATGCTTCAGAACACCTTTCCTCCAATAATTTTTGTTTTGCTTTGTGACTTATTCATTCTTTCTAGATTATTATTACCCTCATGTATTAGACGATGAAGGTTTATCCATGCTGTAACATTTTATATGAATATGCGTTAGAAAAATCATTTAGACAGTTATCAGAGTGATTCTCTGATAGACAGCAGAGAACATGTTAATATCCAGGTAATAAGGGGAAAGAAAAT